ATTCCTTTGTTGAGTTCTTTCCTTAATAACTTATCAACTCAACAAAATCCATCACCGTTGGTTCCACAATTTTTGTGTCCAAGTTCAATTCTTGGAGGTGATTTTCTTATTAATTAGATTATCTTCTTTTTTTCTTCTTTTATAGGGAGTTCCAGACGAAATTACAAACTAGATTTTAGGTAGAAAATATTTTATTGTTTTTTTTAGTGATGTTTTAACACTACTTATTTTCCTTATTACCCTCAATGGTGCTACCCGACCCTTATGTCTTTTATTGGTAAAAAATCATTACTAACATAATGAGATAATTGTGTAATGCAGGAACCGTGATATTTAGATCATGTGGACGCTCCAATAGCGCTAATATATTTCCAGTTAATCTTTTCCTTGTACTGTATACGAAAATATTTTTGTTTTTAAAATCAGAATTTTTTTTTTTATTAATTTTATTTAAAATTTTTTTAGTTCTTTCGGTTTTTCCAGCTTTTTTACACTTGATTTTTTAATTTTTATTGAATTTCTTATTCTTCAAGTCTTTTTAAAATAAGATTTTTTTATATTGATTTTTTCTCTTTTTTCGGTTTTGCAAAATATTTTTTTTTTTTTAAATTTTTTATAAAAACTTATTTATTCTTCCAGTTTTAAAATCACATTCTTATAATATTTTCTTTCCTTTTTTTCTTTCTGATTTTTTGAAAACCCGGCCAGAATTTTGATTTTTTTTTTTCATTCTTTTTAGGTTTGGACCAGTGATCAATGCTGCGATGCTGCGGTGAGCACGATTTATTATTATTATTATTTTTTATTTTTTTGAAACCAAAAAAAAAAAAAAAATTTTTTTTTTATTTTTGGACTTTTTATTCAGTACCAAAAAAATTTTTAATTATTTTTTTAGTTCAATATTAAAAAATAAAAGCTTTTTAATCATTTGTTTATTTATTGCTTCAGTTCAAATTGAAAATTTTCTTTTTAACTTTTTTTTTTATTCCAGTTTTTAGTTCATTACTGAAAAATAAAATTTTTTAATCATATTTTTTTTTAATTAGTCTTTTTATCATACATTTTGTTGAATTTTTGTTAATAATTAATTAACACCGAAATGACTTGAATACACGAAAAAACTAGAGATATTTTTTAAAAAATATAAACAATAATAATAATTATAAATTCTCTATATCTCAGATTTGCAATTGTTCCACCAATATATTCAACACGAGTTTTAATACATATTATCAAAATGTTTCCTAAAAATATTCTCAATGCCCCTAATAATTATTAAATAACATCCAGAACGTCAGATTAGACATTTTATTATTTACTGTATTTTCGAAGAATATTTTACAATAGATGATTTATCATTATTATAAAGTAACTGATTGGTTTAATAAATAATTAATATATTTTTATTTAATCATGTAATCACGGGGGTTAATCCGCAAATCTTGTGACTTTCATTCAGTTATTATATATGTTGATCCTATTTGTAAAATGAATTTTACTAATTTGGTAATTACTATTTCACTATGACTAATAAAAAAATGATTAGACTAAATTAAAAGTTAATAATTTTGAAACAAGTTATTACTAAAATGATGATCCGACCGATCCGTTAAAAAAAAAAAAAATCTTTATTACCCGAAATAATTAAACAAAAATAATTCTTAATTTGAAAAATACGATAAATTTCTTAAAATGTACATTTATTAACCTAAAAAAATGTGTTACTTGTTAATTATTTCATATTACTTGCGTAATAAAAATGTATTAAATGTATTAAACCATGACCAAGAAAATGCAAATTATCAGATATGATATTTATTATAAACAAATAAAGGAAAAATATTTAGCCATTGAAATAAAATAATTTTATTTTATTATGTTCTAGATTTTTTTTAATACGCTTTTTTTATCGCCCCCGAATAAACCGTATGGTCGTTCGCAATATATCAATTGTATCGTTAAATGGCCACAATGTATTACAATGTATAGCGATAACTCTAGATTTTCCCTATAAAAAATTTTATCCGTTATTCCTGTAAAAACTCCGTAAAAATAAGCAAATGATTCGATAAATTCCGGGATATAATGTTATTAATTCCGTGAATATGAATTTGGGTCCATTAAATATACGTTCCCAAGTGTTCTCAATTTTCAATAATATTTAATCAATAATTTATCGATCATGAAATTCTAATAATAAAGACTAGAAGAAATATTAAAAGACTAATTAGAACTTGGATTAACGTTAATTTATCGTAAGAATTGACTATATTCGGAATATTTATTAAACTTTAATTATTTAATATATAATATTTCCAGAAATTGAGCGAATTATACTTAGCGATATATATATAATTACTTGTTCTTGTTTAAATAACTTTTCAATTTCCGCGCTATTTATTTTTGAAAATTGATAACGATATATTATGATATATTATTTGGGCATGTTAGCAACTTTTATTTCCGTTTTGTTTTTGAATTTAAGTGTTGTAATTCACTTAACGTTATTTTTATTTAAATAAATTATTTAATTGTTAATGTTATTATAATGAATGAGATTGATTCTATTTTACATTATTGTTATATACATTAGCAATTACTATTTTAAAATGAAGTTAATTAAAAATATCTATGAAAAATTCTATTTTTTGATTGTCTGTATTCTTGTATTTATAAAAAATATATTACTCTGGAGGCTTATCAGAATCAGAAACATCATCAGCAGCTATTTTATCACTTTGTTTCTTCATCCATCCAGCGCAAACAAGAGTTAATAGTCCCATTATAATTAAATAAATATAATGTATTACGTTTACCAAAAGAAATGCTTGATCAATTGATGATAATTTGTAAATAATAATAACACGAATTGGAACCTCAGAAAGAAGCCCAAATCCCCACATAGCTGTCATAATTATAATACCACGTCGAAAATATTGGTAAGAAGCCCAATATCTGTCCCAACGTGCATCAATAGGTTCATCTTCCGTTAAACCTGGAAGGTTAACTTTTGAATTTGAATAACCAAAGGATCCACCTGTCGCCATATCTTTAAGAAAATAAAATGCTAATGGTTTCATTTTAAAGGTACCAATTTTTATTGGAATTAAACTAATGATTAATACTGCACTAATGATACACGTAATCGCAGATCTTCGTAATAACTGAATTCGTGGATCGTCTTTTATTAATGACGCTATAGCACTGAGAATAAAACTGAGTACTACTATTACTCCTATAATGTCCGCACGCCTTCTACTTATAAGTCCGTATATAGCGATAATAAATGGTGGAATACCTGATATGAGCAATGCCCATATGTCTCGCAAATAATTTTTAAGAGTATAATAAAGAGCAAATGGGAGAGCGATTTCAAAGAATATCATTAATCCGACCCTTAAAATAATTTTTAATTTATCTTGTTTAGTTATTTTATTTTGTGAGGTATTTTGTATTGTGGAAGAAGTGGTTTGTCCATTCTCGTTCGACATGATTTAGGCTTTTTTTTTTTATAGTGTAGTAAGAAATTATAACAAAATTTTTTATTTTTTAAACGAAACTATTATTTTTTTTTTTAGAAAAGAAAAAGATATATTTATAGAAATTTTTTTATCGTGTGACACATTTAATATGAAACAGCTCAATTATAAAACGAAAAGCCAAAGAAAGATCCTTACCAAAAACATAAAATCTTTGTTTAATGTCATTAATAATGTACTACACAAAATGTAGCACCCAACATCTTGGAATCAATCATGATTTGCAGATCCTAATTTTGGCTTTTGGTCGTACAAGCACAAAATTTTTTTTGTTTATGAAAGAAAGTTCCATTGTTCAAACATTCTGATATGGTTAAATCATGTACAATAAATCTTTGTACTAATGTACTTTAGCGAGAAAGGCGTTTTTTTTTATGTCTAATTATTATTGTGAGCACCAAAAAGATCAAAATAATAAGAGTTGGTTTATTTAATAAATAAATCGGATGTTAATCATTTTTCTAATTCTTTTTTTTTTTTTTATGCTAATATTCGTTTCTATTTTATTAAAAGTAATAAAGTGAGCAGTACAAGACTATCGATACAAAAAATTAAAGGTAAAAAAAAACTGGTTCACCTACACTACCGTAAAAATTAGAAACTATCAATACAGACGATCCTAACCTTGTCAAGATATTGATCATTATTAAATCAAACTTTAATTTACCCATTATGATTTTTCTTTATTTAATAATAAAAAATTGCTAAATCTGTAATTGCTAAATTTAGAGAATAGTAATATTAAATAAAAAATATATGTAAAATTAAACTAAATCGACGATTATTTAATTCTCAAATATTCCCTAAAAAAGAAAATTATTGTTTAAATTTATTTTTAATTTATAAGATTATCAATATCTCAATATCTTGTGATGTAAAATAATTAATTATGTATGATAATAATAGTTATGTCAAAAAATTTTAATGAAATCCTATTGGTCTCTACTTAAAAAGGTGTGGCAAAAAATAATTTAATTTGGAAAAGATTTACGAAATACCAAGAACATACCAAGAAAATACCAAGAAAGCCAAGCGATTTATAATTTATTTTGAAACATGAAAAGGGTTAAGGTCTCATGATATAAGTTATTGATTAATATGATTGTTTTAATGATTCCTTATTAGAATAAATAATGATTTTTGCTTAGCCATTTTCGAATAATATACTGTAAATATGTGGCTGAGGTTATAAATAACTTGTTTGATTTTTTTTAAAATATCTTCATTTTTTTTTTTTTATGTTACAACTTACAATAAAGAAAAAATTTTTTGATATTATATTTTTTTATATTCATAAATTATTGCGCTTGAAGCAATTATGATTGGTAAGGATTTGGCAAATTAATATACCTTACATGTATAATTCTTACTCTGTCCAACGAAATGCATAGTATATTTAACTATTAAAAAAAACAAAAAAATTTACAAAAAAAATGTCGAACATGTTTCTTTAATTTTCGAGAGTAAACTAATTACGCGATAACTGGAACCGAATTCTAGCGTCACCAGTGATATTTAATCCGTAAATATCGTCAACCACATGATCCTGGCATATTTACGATGACGCTGGCGTAATCATGTGCAACATTTACCTCATTTGTTTCATACTTTCATACGCAAAAGGGGTTATTATTTTTAGTTTCAAATCATTATTTATGTTATAGATTAATGTAGATTTGGTAACTTAATAGATCATTATTTGATATTGATATTTATGACACACAAACAATTTGAATTTCAACTTCTTTCTTTTCTCTTACAAATTAAAGCGATAAGAAAAATAATTGTGAACGAGAAAAATTAGTAATAATGCAGGAACAAAAAGAATATGTGAGAACTGTAAGCAAGAATGTTTGGCTACGTAATCAAAGTTTACGTTATGAAACCCTAAAAATTTACTGTAACAAATTATTAAAGGATTTTTATACAGTGTTATTCAGTCTAAATTCTATAAGTTTTGAAGTACATTTAACATAAAATTTTGATATAAAAATTTTTTGCTGTTGCTGTAGGACCAGAAATAAATGAGTGGAGTTTGCGTACAAACCAGCCAAAAAATTATGAAAATCCTTCCTCTTATATATAATGCTTGGTGGAAAATCTATTACCTTTTTTGGATACTGACCAAAATTATCATAATTCCGGCCCTTAAAAAGTACATAAATTTTTTGGCTGCTTCTGGCAATTTTGGCAATTTGATATCCGTAGTTTCCTGTTATTGCTTATTCATGATATTATTATTAATTTATTTGACTCATGACTCACATGACTCACAAGAAAGTTTGCAATTGAAACAATATTACATAATATTAATATATTTATTATATATTATTACTCATGCAAAATATCAACATGAGTCATTGCAAATACTATTAAAAATAAAATAATATAAAAAGACCATTTTTTTTCTAAAACTAGATTTCTTCAAAACTAGAAAATATTTCTTAAACTTAGAAAAATATTTCTTAAAACTAGAAAAATATTTTTTATTTTAAATTTAATAAATTTAATAACTAATATTTTTTTAAATTTTAAATTGGAAAATTATTTTGAATCTAGTAACCTTTCAACCAATAACCAATAACCAATAACCAATAACTTTAGCCAATAACTCTTTAACATCCACCATCAATGGATAACAAGAAGCGAATTCGTACTACTCCTGAACAACTAGCATTATTAGAAGATACATTTAAAACTAATCCCTCTCCAAATAGTAAAATTCGTGAAGCCATAGCTGAAAAGCTAAACATGTCTGAGCGTTCAATTCAAGTTTGGTTTCAAAATCGCCGAGCTAAAATGAAGACAATGCAAAAACGTACTTATTTAATAATTAGTAATAATGATAAAATATCTGTATCTCAACATCAACCTCAATCTCAACAGTTTACATTGCCTGAAGAATTCATTACTTTGTCTTTTAATATCAATAACAATACATCATTAGTTTCACTTATTTCATGTGAGTATCTTACAATAGGAACTTGGCATTGCATTCTAACAATGTCATCTCTGTGTTATTATACCTTACCTCAGAATATATTAACTTATCATATTACAAACGAGAATATTGAATTTAAGATGGAGTTTTCACTTTCTGATGTCTTTTCGGTTGAATATCAGCCTATTGATAATATTTATTCACAAATTATAATTGAAGTTAAAGAATCACCTTCCTTTTATATGAAGTCAAATTATAGTGAATGGAATACATGCAAAGATTTTACTGAAGATAAACAAGCATCTCGGCATATGATACATATATTGAAAGGTTGTTCTATTTTAATAAAACCACAACTTATTAAACTTATGCAAGATGATCCAAACCTTGCTAAAGTTGTAACAATATTTGAAACTCCAGCTCTAGCTGATCATTAAATCAGATATCTCTATCTCGTAGTATATTCTAAATTTAATTTTTTTTTTTTATCATAATATAAATATCTATGTAAAAAAATGTATTTTGAATTATTTTAATTAAGTAGCAAAATAGTTTACAATTTTCTTAGTTTGTAATATAAATAATAATTATTATTTTTTTCATATTATACTTATATTATCAATAAATTAGCAAATATCACCCAACGACTTAACTGATTGTTTTAACTTGTTAGATCACTAGACCTGAGTAATGTATTTTTACTATAAAACATAAAACGTGATGAATCTAATGTAGCTGTAAAAAATTTGACGGCAAATCCGGCCCTTTCTATATAATAAAGAATATTTTTCAATTGAATAAATTTGTGAAATCATGTTATAAGTTATAAGTGAGTCATTTAAATTTATTTTTACTCCAATGTATAATGTTGATTAGATACTTTGATTTTTAAACTTAAGTTATGTAACTACCTACCTACGACAGAAATAAGCTAAGTAATAAACTCGCTCCATCATTTTACTCTTCTTTTTCATCTATCTTTGTATACACCCTATTGATTTTCTCTATTAAAGAAATCTTCTTTAAGAGATCAAGAGCAATGAAAAGTTTATCCAGTGCATTTTTAAAGACTTCCATGTCATTAGGAAACGATCTATTTAGTTTTTTTCGTGCCTCTCTGTTTGCGTTTGAGATCTGTCACCGTGAAATTCGCAGTTGCTTTGTGTTTCATCAACATTAAAAGTTCATACTCTTCAAGTTTCAAATGAACGTTACTTAGAGCAATTTCTAGTTGTGAAACATGATTTTTCTCTAATCTAGAGTAACTTGTCATTTCATATTCTACTTTTTTATAAATAGCTGGCTGTGCTTTGTTCCACACGTTCGAATTAACTTGACCTATAAAAAAGTTATCCAGTCTCTATTCACTTAGGGCATTTCTTTTTTCTTTTTTGTGTTAGTAAACTTATTTGCAAATTATTACTAACGGTTCTTTACTATTCCATTATATTGACGAAGTGTGTGGTTTTTTTTAACTATTAGAGAGCAAAAGGAAAAAAATATTTGAAAAAGAAAAAAGAAGAGAAAACTGCTATATACCTTTCCGAAATATGATAAACTCGTATAAACTTTTGGTGGCTTGTTGTGACGTAATACAGAAAGCAATATAAAGAATATCAAACATCGTGTGTATCCAAATACGTGAGTAAAGAAATTTTTATTCTTTACATATTGAAAACTGAAGACACTGTCGGTGCTTGGTCTTTCTGAATGTACCGCAGAAACTCTTCGGGGTGCTTACAAAGTTCAATTGCCGCAGTTCAAGTAATAATATCAATTTTTTATTTTTTAATATATCGGACATTATTATTTAACTATTAAGTTATTAAACATTTTTTTTAAAATAAAATATACTCTTGATATTGGAACAAATGAAGTTCTGGAAGCTTGTCGTGAATTAGGCGTCACTATAGTAGACTCAAACGTGACTTTCTAACAATAATAAAAAAAATTGTTTTTATATATATAAAAGTCCACATCTTCAAGGTGAAAATTTCAATAAAAATTTGTAAGTTATACGCAAGTAAGAAAGACGTAAAATAGTTATAATATCATTATAATTTATATTAATGTTGATGCTAAAATTCACTGGCCATGCACGCGGCGACTGTGGCGTGACAGACGTACATCCCATGGTTTTGTGTGTACTTCACTACGCTTTGGACAATAAGTATGATATTCTTAATACTATTTTTTATATCTTATAGGGTGATTACTTTGTTACTATTCCTGATACAAGAAGAAATGAATATTTATAAGAAATTTTCAACCAGAAAAATTCACCTTCGGGTAAAATTAATTATTGGTTGTATTGTATGAAATAATATTGTCACGTGATTGGTAATCCTACCAATTTTGTAGAACAAATGAACAATGTAGATCAATGTCAGAAAAAAAAAACTCTTTCCCACAAAATTCGGAAAAAAATTTCGTACGTTTATTTTTTTAAATTTTACAAAAATGTTTATCTCCGTTTAGTTTCGTTAAAGTTTTTCTACCTCACAACACTTCTACGCACACTTTATTATTACCTTATTATTTACTTTTCTCGAGTCACTTGTCCATTTTCCTTGCCCTGTCGTTCTGCATGTTAAAAGTTGGAACAAATTTTTTCTTTACCCGGTCTTTTTATAAAGTACCACTCTTCATCTGACATAAATTCACAAAGTCTTCTCAAGCTCGGCCTATGGACTCCCCACCCGACTCTACTACCCCTCCGCCTGTTTCACAGGCTATTTTATGTCTTTACAAACCTCTAAAAAAATTCTTTGACATTTCCATGAGAATTTCCAAACTTTCGCCTTACCTGTCATGTGATACTCGTGGCAGTGGAACTTTGTACAATACTAAGAAAGGACGATATTACCTTATTCGGCTGTCTGAAAAAGCTGATCTTCCTCTTACAGAAATTGACAAATACATTATTTACACCAATGATATTGAATTATCAAAAAATCACCGTCACACATTTCGATCTACATCTAACAAACCAAATTTAAATTACATTTTAGGAATTTATCTCACATTCGTCTTTTCTCTAAATAGACAATTTCACAAGAATGATGTGAACAAATATTTTAACCGTTTACGCCATTTATTAAAGAAAAACTCCTTGCACTACGACACTGATTAGAATCAACCAATAATAACGAAAGAAAAACTAAAACATTTATCCGGTTCAGCTGCGGCCCCCACGTGATCTACTTGGGTTTTTACTTCCTTGCAGCACATTACATTTCGAACCTGGTGAGATTACGGGTTCACTATGTATCCACCCTCCCGCCTTCGTACAATCAAAAATCGTTGGTGTTGCGGAGCTCATCTCGAACAGATCCGACAGGTCTCACACACTACTACTCGTCATCCAGTAGAGCCTAGATTTTATGCTGAACAGTTTAGACTTACGGTAAACTGACATAACAAGGATAAAAGACACCACAAAGAAATTCACTCTAATCGCCTTGGCATTAGCTACGTCGTTCAATTTAAATGATTTCGCTCAGATGAATTAGATTTACCCAGCGTTAACAATAAAACGGTTCGACCATATTACAAACAATACCGCACGTTACATTTTGATGCGGTTCGTTCACCTCAACAGCAAGCACGATGGAATAGACTTACTACGTCTACACTTAATTCGTGATCCGCATATAAAGTAGAGAATATCGATATTCCGATGTGGGGTGCTGATCATATATATATATAGTAAATTAGCCATAATTCAGCTATTTTGGACTGAGCTAGCACCACCATCTTGTATGACCTAAACGTCATATTTTATATGCTAATAATAGAATACAATATGAATAAATTTCTTGCATTTTCGTACTGAATTTGTAAACAAAAAAAAACTTTTACTAGCCGGGTCGTCAGATTCCTGGCTATAAATATAGTAAGTAAATTCGCAATTTCAATAATTTTTATAAAATTTATGGCAAAAAAACTTAAAAAAATGTTGTTTTAACGTCAAAAATTTTCAAAAATTTACAAAATTTTATTCATTTATCAAATTCTTTATTTACTAAGATCTGTCAACTAGAGCTAAAGCTTGTTGGGCTTTCAATTTACGATGAGTTTGTGCATATCGAGAAATCCAATTACTAATTGTAGAAATTTTTGGAATTTCCTCTTCTTCTAAAACTCCTTCTTCTACTAAACCTTTCAGTTCATTATGCATCTCTTGAGCTGTATACTTTTCACTTTTATTTATATCTCCGGCCAAGAAATATGCCTCAAGGTATGGAATAACATTTTTGCTTATTAGTTTACCTCCTCCTTTTTTACCAAATTTCTGATTTTCTTTTAAGGCCCATCCACTTGATAATGCAAAATTCGATGTGTGATTCAAAACTTGCCTTGAACCCAAATCAGTATCAATAATTTCAGTATTCAAAACGTCTATTATTCATTCAGAAAAAAAGAAAATTAGTTTTGAGATAATATAATCACAATTTTAAGGTAAGAATGATTTACCTATATTTTGTGGTGATATTTCATCGTTCAATTTATTTTGTAAAATTTCTGCTAATATAACTCTATTATTGCTTACATCTGTGTCAAAGCCATATTCCTTCAATTGTTTTTTCAATTCTTCAATAGTAAGACGATTTGTATTGATTTCTAATATAAAAAAAAATCAATGTAAAACAATTGCAAAAAAAGAAAAAAAAATCAATTTATTACATACTTGATCTATGAGGTAATGGAATATTCCAATAGGAAGTTGGAATTGAGTGATCTGAAACTTGTGAATTAGGTTTTTCAAGAGGTCTTTTTTCAAATTGTGCTATTTTAGCCGGCTCAAAATTTTTCCAAGTTCCAATATTAGGCATTGCACGAGCCTGAATAAATCCTGCATATTCACCTTCTGTCGGCCAGGACCACTCATACCAATTGGAATTTCCTGGTATTGAATTTTTCTTTTTTCATCCTGATTCTATAAATCATAGTAATTGCTTTCAGTAATAAGTATTACATAACTTCAAAATTGTATTCTCACATATACCCTTTTTCCGTTCTGGTTCCAAATGTGCTACTGAAGTACCACAAATCCCTTGAATAGCATTCTCTATGTCTACACCTTCATTGATATCAAACCCCAATCGAACATAACGATTTATCGCATGTGAAATCTGTAACCAATGATTCAATAAATAATAATGGTGATTTCCTAAATTATTTGAACAATCAATACACACTTGGGCATGGTGAGAATCAATTGATGTTTTAGCCTCTCCAGCTTCTAAAAAAACCCATTTTTTTACTGAAATATTGTACCATTCATTCCAATGCCCTAGAATTAACATTAGGTCCGCATTGTGATAATGTGGACCATTATCAGAAAGAAAAGTAACCCAATCTGGTTTGACTTCAAGCGATTCAATAACTGCATGTAGTGAAGAAGCTGTGAACCATGCATCTTGGCATGTATCGGCCAACCAGTGATCAAATACTTGAATATCCAATTGATGACTTTCAGATTTTCGTGTATAGACAAGAATTGAATGCAAAGCCCATCCTTTTTTCCCAAAAAAAGCACTTTTTGTTTCTCTTGCGCTCTTGGGTAAGATTTTCATCTTATAATCAACTATTATTATAGCTCCTTTTTCATCTAAATCTAATAGATTAGCGTTAAATTGAGAATTTAGAAATACATTTCGCGTCTGATGACTCAAATAATAGAAAATTTGATCTCGTAATTCATAAATTTCCTCATGAATATTATTTGGAGTGTTTTTTTCAATATCAATGAAGAATTGAAAAAGTGCATCACAATCTGAACATGTGTGAGTATGTTGTTCATTACATATACCAAAAGCAAAAGGAAGGCAAAGGTTTATACATTGGTTATGTGCTGTTGTACCATCAGAATTTACAGTCAAATGTGACTCATATTCCCTTTTCAGATATCGTTTTAACTTCTCTCCTTGATCTAATAATTGATTCTAAATGAAATTATTAGAAATTAATATTATATAATTATTTTTTATCAATTATAGGAATAAAAATATTACCTGGATATGAAGATTACTAAAGTGATTTTGAATGAGTTTGGTAAGTTCATCAAATGTTTCATAGCCATATGTGTTGCATATTGAACACAAACCACCAAGATTCTCACGATAAATATATCTATTGCCCTGCAAATGCTTATAAAAAGTTGTTCGTTTTACTCCACTTGGATATTTTTCATGAAACTTTTCCCACAGATCTTGTTTCGTATTTTTGAGGTAATGAACTGGTTCTTGCGTAATGGTGTCTGTTTTGTATGAACTCATTATTACATTAGCCTTATCAGAAAAGAATTGTTCTAAATTTTCTTTTTTTTCCCGTCCTAATTTGTCTTTGACAATAATAGGTTTTTGTGCTTGAGGTGCACCTGGTCCATTAATACGAGCATATTGGAGGGCTCTTGATACTGTATTTGCAGCTACCTGTAAGTTTATATTTTTATTAGTTCAATTATTTTGATAACATGCATTGTAGTAGTATACACTAACAGTACACTTACCCCTAATTTTGATCTGAGTTCTTGATAGGTAAATTTTGTAGCAATAATTGAAAGAATTCGTCTTTGACCATTTGGACCTCTATTTGTATTTTCCAATGCGTTACGAAATGCTTGCCAAAATGTAAGAGATTGATTTTCTTGATAATATGGATTTTGTTGGAGGAATCCTGATTCATAAAGTATTTGTAATGTTGTACTATCTTTTTGAACGTTATCTGATTTCGTCCAAAATTCAAACTAAATTAAAAAAATTATTTGTCAATAATAAATAAAAAAGTCAACTCATTTTTTTGCATAATTACTAACTTTAGATTCTCCATTTTTGAAGGGGGTGATATTAGTACATCCTGCATTTCGAACAAATGCTCTCCAAGCACGCCATTCTCGTTCATTAATTTCATAACCAGATGGATATGAATCTAAAATAGCTTTCCGTAATTCTAAAATATCACTTTTCTGATTTAACCATTTATTAAATAAATCATGCCATTTGATCTCACATGAAATTCTTCTTTTCAAATGATATTTATAAAGATTTTCTAACACTCCCTCTAAAGTCCAGTCCAATACCGTGCAAGAAGGAATTTGTGCTTGTTGAATACAAATTTGCGTATACGGATTTTCTAACCCAAAAATTTTTTTTCCAGAATAATTTGAAAGTCTGCCAATACATAACCAAACTTCATTAGGATCAATAGCATTATACGTCTTTATCAAAGTATCATTAGTATATATTTGAACTACACACTCTTCATCTTCTATTTCTTGAATAAAAGCTGATTTTATACCATTGTAATGAGATTGAAAGACGGATTTATATCCTTCTCCTGCATAATTCCATTCTGGTTTTTTTGATTTTCCCATTCCCAGCACAATTACGTTCAATTTTACAAGACTAATCATATATGGACGAAATATAATATCATCAAGTAATTGTTGTATAATATTTGAATTGTCAAAACCCATAACTTGTGGACCAGGGAACTTTGCATTTGAATGAAAAACTTTTTCATAGCAGGTGTCTGTTGGTGAACTGCACACACCTGACCTATATTCTTCAGAAAAACACAAAAATCCAGGAGAATTTGGATGTTGAGTATCTTTTACAACGGTAATTATGAAGTCACATTTTTTTAAAACTGTATGAGTTTTCATTCCTAAACGAATCGGAAGGAGAGGAGTATGCGTAGGATTCTTATTTATTGGTCGCGCAAACCACCAGTTATGACAAAATGGACCAAAATGTAAATTTTCTACAATTTTGCCTGGGGAAATAAGTGTTGTAATGTATTCTTTACTTTTACTCATATGTTTTGACTTTAAAAAAGAAGTTGGGTATGTAAAAAACGCAAGATTCTAAAAGACGCGAAATCGCATATGCGTATTATCCCCGGATTTTATATATGTCGATCACTACTTTATATACGGATCACGAATTAAACAAAATCACTTCAACCGGACTATCACACCTCACTTACTTCCAAACTCCCCTGGACAAAGGGTTTTTAAAACCATTCAACATCTTCCGTACCATTACAAAGGACATACACCTACACAACATTCCGACATATATAAAAATTCACCTAATGGTCGTATGTACTATGACCAACAACGCGTACGCCTATACTTGCCACCCATATTAAATGGGATGGGAGAATCCCCTATCCCATCTCATCCCATATCCCATCCATTTTGCCAAAATCCCCTCCCATTTGCCAAAATCCCATCCCAATCCCAAATCCCAATCCCACCCATATCCCATATCCCTTATCCCATTCCTTATCCCAAATAATCTCATTGGTCAATTATCACGTGACGTTACACAAATTTCCAAAAAAGGAAATTTTGCTTCCCGCAAAAATTGAGAGATTTTGGTTTCACAAGTATTCCAAAAAAGGATATTTTTACGCCGATCATATAATTCTGGCCAGCATTGCATCCATTACCAGAATATGAGCAAAATTAAGATCCCGAACAGATTTACGAAGTTTATATTTTAACTTCGGCCGGAATTACAAATTATAAAAGTTTAAATCCTTATCCTACAAACCCAATTTTTAAGAGATTTACTGATCAGATTTTAATGAAATTTATATCTTTGGATTCGTCTTGATGCAAGGAATTAAATGGTAGTGAAATCATATTTCTAAAATTAATATTGACTGATTTATTATAAAAAATGTATTTTTATACTATATATTATTTAAAAGTAACATGTTAGCAGTTAGTATTCAGTAATATATTGATTATTTTATTTGAATTAATAATTTTGATGATATCTGCTGATATTGTTTTTTTAGATTAACAGTTAATTAATTCCTGGTTTGTAAATATTATTTTATTAAATATTTATGCAATAATAATAATATCTATCAAATTATATATATTAGAAATAAATAATCANATAGGTTTAAGTTAATTCAAAGTTAAATTGTAATAAAAAATATAAAATAATAAATTGAATAAATACATTTTAAAAACTTTTTATATTAAAAGTAACCAATTATTGCTTGCTTTATACATATTATTTAATAATATATATTATAAAATACATTTTTTATAATAGCTTAGTCAATATTAATGTTGGGAATATAATTTCACTGCCATTAAATTCCTTGCATCGAGACAAATCCAATGATATAAATTTCATTAAAATCTGATCGGTAAATCTCTTAAAAATTGGGGTATGTAGGATAAGGATTTAAACTAAATTCTGACCTGAATTAACATTAGACTTCGAAAACTAAAATATTACGGCCAGAATTATGTGATCGGAATAGAAATTTCCTTTTTTGGAAGTTTGTGTAACGTCACGTGATAATTGGCCAATGGGAGAAATGTTACACAAGTATTTGGGATTTAGGATGGGATTTGGGATTTCATCAGGAAGTTTTAAAAACGATGTACATTTCAAAGTATATCAATCTTTTAATAAACATCAAAAAAATGTATGTATATCGGACCATTCGTCAGTAAATCCAATGAATATTTAAGCAATAAACATCAAAAAATTAGTAATATACATTACGAATAATTATTAAGTAAACATCAGATTTATTATATTTTGCATTATACATTTTTATACATTAAAAATTATGCTACATATCTATTTATACGCTTAAATTTATTATTGAATTTGTGTAATGTCCTTTTAGTTCCACTATACAGCCATTCTTTTAAATTGTGAAAAACTTACTCTATCAGTATAGACCTCATATTCATATCTTTTTTATACTGATGAATAATATATTAGTGCATATTCAATAAGTATTTAATAAATAACATGACTAAAATTACCAACATACGTTAATTATATATCTACATCTTCAGCATTTTCATCCTCAGCATTTTCATCATCGGCATTTTCATCATCGACATTTTCATCATCAGCATTTTCATCATCGGCATTTTCATCATCGGCATTCCTATCTTTGGCAATTTCATCATTTTCAACATTTTCATTCTCGGCTTCCTCATCGTCTAATTCATTGGATTTCTGTTGTAATTCCATATCCTCATTAGCTTTGGCTTTTTCAGCCATACATTTAATTATTGATTCACCAGAGAGTACTGTAGTCTGAATGTTAGGATCAAACATTAAATCTACAATAGCTATAATAAACAAACAGTTATTACTAGTACGTTCATTAGATTTCAGAACTTCTTTAGTGATACAGCTAATATAAGTATCACAAGGATCATTGCCACTTTCATCTACGCCGTTCCAAAGATTTTCATACGCACATCTTGCATTTTTAGAAGTTTTCCAGGCTAATACTTCTGAAGGTGATGCCTTATGACCTAGATAATCCCCGATAAATACTTTGCCAAATACATTCATCGTTGCATTTTTAATTTTTAGAACATAATTGGCACGTTTAATAAGAAATTAATAACGAGCCTGTAATAATAAAATTTTTATATTGTAGTTTTTTGATGTAAATAATCTATAATTATAATCAAGTATAATAGAAACAAGTTACCGGTGATTGCAATACTTCAGTCCAATACCTGAACCATCCATCTTTAGTCTTTTCTATTTTTTCAACTTCATCTGGATGTTCATTAACTAAAGCTGTATAAATTGCTTCCCGCATACTTTCATCTGTAGGATTTTTGTCAGTTTGGAAAAGATCATTGCACGATTTAACCAAGGTATTCTAAATTGTAAAAAAGTAGGATAATAGTTACTAGAGAAAAGAATTTGAAAATAATAAACCAGTTATGAACATATTTACTTACACTGTACCAAAACACTTTTTTTTTTCCCAGATATTTGTTGTCATTATAATCAACTTTCTCTTCAGAAGTATTTTTCCATTCTTTTATAAATTCATTAATAGCAAGTTCCGTGCGAATTGCGGCTTCCTTGGCCGCTATTGCTTCTTAGTACACACTCTTAGAATACTGCAAAGCCTTACATAACAAATTAACATCTTTTTCATTTAGCCGGGGCACTGTATAAAATTAATAATACTATAGTTACCGAAAATAATATTAAAAATTATGAAAAATTGTTTTGTTAATACTTACATTTTGTTATATTATTAATATCCACACTGCTCTTTCTTTTGGAATGATGCTCTTGTTCTTCATCATTAATTAAAACAAAAACATACTAAATAAAAATATACGATGAAATGTCGGTAAATTATAAATTAGTATAATTATAGTTAAATTAACATTCACCTTAAAGCCAGAAGTTGAAGTAGATAACGTCCTATTAATGGATTCAGATGATGTTCTACCGCTGAGTCCGCTAGATTCGGATCTTGACGCTTTACGATTTATATTGCTAGTGTTATTCAAAACTGAACCATTGTTATTATCATCTTTATTATTATTTGATGGTAAAACTGGTTGTTTTTGCACCTATAATAAATGTTAATTATTAGCGAAATGAATAATTGTTTTTTCTTATTTATGAAATAACAACATTATTATTTACCTTTCGAGAAGCAGATCGAAGATTTCTATTAGGTGCGAAAGCTGTTAAAGGATCAATATTATTAGATGGTGCATTGTTTGGAGAAATATTATTAGATGGTGTATTGTTTGGAAGAATATTTTTAGACGGTGCATTGTTTGGAGAATTTTTTTTAGATGGTGCATTGTTTGGAGAATTTTTTTTAGATGGTGGAATCTTTTTGTTTTTACGAGATGACATGGTTTTTGTTAAAAATTGTTAAAAAAAAATAAAAAAAAAAAGGAGTATCATATCGACTATTTAATATTTAAAATATAATGATAAATCAATTAATTGATCAAAAAGTCTATTACTAATCACACAATTGATATACATATATATATTTATATATACGTAGACAATAATTCAACAAGTTAAAATAACGTAAAAATTCTTGAGATAAAGACAAAATATACCGTAAAATTAATCATGTCAACAACTAAGAAAGGATATAAAAAAAATATATTCCAATGTAAATACTGTCCACGATCATTTAGTGGACGTGGAGCTTATCGAAATCACCTTCAGTCACATCGAGACCAGATGTACCTAGACGAAAATAATTTAACACGTGAAGAAAGTACTAATATAAGTGAGCCAGTTGTCGCCAGAAATAACAAACAAGGACCCGCTCTCTCACCTATCTTAATTAACGACATTATTACTCCGTGTGAAGAACAAATTTCAGACATAAATGTTCATGATGCTTGGAAGGTAAAGTATATATATATTTTTTTAAGAAATTTATCGTTATAATCGTTATATAGTTGCACAAATCTTATAACACGTTTCTGTATTACAGGATGATGAGCTGCTAATTTTTGACGAAAATATAAGTGAGAAAGAAATTCAAAGTGACATTGAAAGTAATGATGAAATAGATAATATTTTTGTTGAAACTGAAGACCAATATTACCAAAATTATACATTATTATTTCCAACGGTTGTAAGTTCGTCTATTTTAACGGTTCTAGATGTTAGAACAGCTCAAAAAGTTCAAGAAACAAATAATGCAATACCATCATTTCCGAATTCAGCATATGAAGCTTTTGTACATTTGCTTACCAAACATAACCTTTCTGATTCTGTTGCGAATGATATTATTAGTTTATTCAATAATTTTCATATGGATTCAACGGCTATTCTACCTTCAAATGCCAAAGCTGCACGAAAATTATTAGATTCTATGCAAATTCCTCATATTTTATATAAAAAAATGGTTATCATGGAATATAACCAAAAACAATATATACTTTATCATCGAACAATTTATGATACCATCAAAGAGTTGTTAAGTAATGAAGATATATTTAAACATTGTGTGTTTGATTTTATGCCGAAGTACCTGACAAATATTAATGGTGAAAATGAAAGATGTTACGGAGAACAATATAATAGCGAATGGTGGGGTCGGGCTCAGTCATCAATTAGCGAAAATTCCAAAGTACTTTCTATCATCCTCTATTCGGACGCTACAACATGTGATGTTC